TAGTAGAGGCAGATATTCTTTATTGAAAGGACTGGAGGCAGGAGAAAACAATTGCTATCAATTCCTTTTTTTAGATTATTAGATTAATTCTTCACTTAAATTATAAATCTCTGAATAAATGGTTCGGCTAGAGAAAGAATTTCTTTCAGCATTCCAAGAACTCATCTTTTGTTCATCAGTTTTGCAAGTCTTCACCATTTTCAAATCCTGATATATTTGCATACCAAGTGATATAGAGCAGTGATAGAACTATCATTCCATTGTTTAAAAATCTATAAAATTATTGTATGCTTCTAATCAACTGGCCAGATGTAAAAAAAATACTTTGTGATATACTGCAGCATTTATCTAGTAAAATTGTATTTAACTTTCCTAATTACAACAACCTTTGTAACAAAACCTAATAAACGCAACTTTGCTTAAGGAGAAAAAGAATTCACTCATAATACATATATGGAAATTAAAAACAAAATGAATTGTCAGGAAAGAATCAGAAATGTGTAAAAATAGAAAGTTAGTAGAATTGAAATTGAAGATTAGAAACTGTTGGTGTCTAATAGGAAATAATCATGTCCTTCATTTAGAACAGGGGTGTCAAACTCCATTTCATTGAGGGTCGCATCAGGATTGTGCTTGACCTTGGGGGGGATGGCCGGGGATGACATGGCTTGGGGCCATGTCCAGCTAAATGTCACTCGTGTTGTGGGGGCATCTGTGGTGGCAAAGTGCTAAGGCAGGACTTCCCTCAGACCTCTCCCCCCTCTCATTGTGATCTTCCTTCCCACCTTCCTTTTCTTCTTTTTCCTTCCCTCTTCATTCTCCTTTCTTCTTCCTTCCCCTCTTATTTTTTTTCCTTGCTATATTTCCATCATTACTTCTTTTTCTTTGTCTTTCCTCTTTCCTCTTTCCGGTCTCTTCTTGGATGCTCAAATGCAAAAGGGGAAACATCTCTCTTTTTGTTTTGTTTTGCTTTAAATTTGTTTTGTTAGCCTCTGCCAGTGAAAATAGAGGACCACACATGTCCCCCAGGCCCCATTTTTGGCTGCGATGGCCTCCAGCCCTCTGCCAGTGAAAACAGAGCTTGGGGGACACACGTGCAGCCGAGCTCCATTTTCACTGGCAAAGGTGCTGCAGGGTGGTCCAGTGGGTGAGATCTAAGTATCCCACAGGCCAGATCTGGCCTGCGGGTCTTGAGTTTGACACTCCTGATTTAGAAGGAAAAAATAAGGAAGCATGATAGACATATAAAACCTTTTTCCAAGACAGTATACAGAAAGTGTCTTGTGGAATAGATAGCATCACCACCAGCTAGATTCACAATTGCACTGTACATATCTTTAATGGAATCTAGAAGGAGGGAATCATGCAATAGAGTGCCCTGAAGTTCTGTCTTGGAGCCAGTGCTCTTCAACATTTTCATAAATGATTTAGATGAGTCACTAGAAGGGGAATTCATCAAATTTATATTTGACATCAAAATGAAGGGAATAGCCAACAGTTTAGAAGACAGACTCAAAGGTACAGAATGATCTTGTTAGACTTGAATACTGGGCCTAATCCAACAAAATGCAATTTAGGGTTGAAAAACATAAGCTCCTACACTTAGACAAGAAAAACCAAATGCACAGGTATAAAATAGATAGTACCTGGCTTCACAGAAGGGAATTGTGAAAGAAATTTATGTGTCCTAGAGGATCATCCCTTAAATATGAGCCAGTAGTGTGCTGCAGCTGCCAAAAAAAGCCAATGTGGGAATATTAGTGGTCCATCACTGGAGGTTTTCAAGAAGATACTGGACAAACGTTTGTCCGCAATGGAATAGGGTATTCTGTTTGAGCAGGAGGTTGAATATTCCAATGCTATGATTTTATGTTTTAAACTCTCCAGGTGTTTGTTTAAGTTGCACCCTTATATTGCACTCTTCTGCCAAGTAGATCAAATTTTCCTATTGTCATCAGACTAGTCTCACTGTATCAGACTAAGGATATGTCTTGTTGGCCCATGCATACATGTGTGCAACCAGAAGTTTCTGGGATGTAAATGAAGAACACCTATCCCTGCACTGGGAATTAAGAGAATGCCATCAGTGATGCCAAATTCATGCCATTAAGAGACTTGAGCATTTTCATTTACATCATACTAAATAAGAGTTGTGAGAAAGAAGAGTACAGATGCATGTTTCCTTTTATCTGTTACCCTAAAAATGCAAGATTTAGACATTTTCTAGCAGAGATATAAAGAAATTTGGCATAGGTACTACCTAGGGTGGATTTCAATTTTTTTTACTACCTATTGTGTGGTTTTGGCCTATTTTGTGGGCGTGACTTGGTGGTCATGTGGCCAAGTGGGCATGGCCAACTTGTAAAATGTGGTGAAACTCACTTAACACTTGGCTTGGCAACCAAAATTTTGGGCTCAATTGTGGACATTTCTTTTTCTTTCTTTCTTACTTCTCTCTCTTCCTCTTTCTTTCTTTCTTTCTTTCTTTCTTTCCTTCTTGTGTCTCTCTCTCCCTCCATTTCTTTCTTTCTTCCTTCCTTCCATCCTTCCTTCCTTTCTTTCTCTTTCTCTCTTTTCTCTCTCCCTTCCTTCCTTCTTTTTTCTTTCTTTCTCTCTTACTCTTTCTCTTTCTTTCTCTCTCTCTACCCCCCTCTCTCTCTCACACACACACACATTCCTTCCAGTTGGCAAAAATTTATTTTTTGCCAGCTATGACGCTGGCAAAGAAGCCACCCTTTCCCCATCCATGCCCTCCTCCTATGGATTGACACTGCAATAGGGAAGGGAACAGCCCATGCTAGGAGACAGCCTGGTTTGAACATGAGTGGGCGGTTTGGGGGCCAGAGCCTCCTTTGCTCATTGGGGTGGGCAGAGAAAGAAAGGAGGTGCATAATAAAGCACCCCGCCACCAAGAGCAAAGGGGAGCACCTTCACCCTCTGCTATCATGTGCCTCTTTTCCCAAGACTGGCAGGACACCTCTCCTCACTCCCTACCATATGGGGCTGCATACACCCCTGCTACACCCCATGAGAGATTTCCTAGCCTGGGATCCCAAGAGATGTTTGTCTGCCTAGAATTGCCAATCCTTCTACCAGCCCAAGAGGAAGCTTCTGCTGCTACCTTTATAGGCCAGGAGCATTGGGAGGGAGACCCTGTTTTTTTTTTTTGCAAGGTCACTAAAAAAGACAAGGAGAAAGTGCTTTTTGCCCCATAGGCTCTTGCCTTACTCAGATTGCTGCCTAGTTGGTTGCAGTGCTTTGCAGCTGGGGAGAAAATCCAGCCATGGCGGCATCCTAAGAGCTCCAGATCCGCACTGTTGAAGGAAAAGCCAATAGAAAGTTGTGTGCTTTTGCAGTGCCTGTGCCAGCCCCAAACTGCCTGCCCATGTTAAAACCAGCCTGCCTCCTCTCTCCCAGCATGGGCTCTCTGGAGTGGGAGGGAAGGTCCCTCCCAAGACCTTGCTTGTCCTGGTGGCACCCCAGTGATAACAGCTGAGTGAGGGAAGGAGGCACGTGATAAAGCAGCCCCAGCCCCGCCATCAAGGATGAATGGGAGACCCTTTGCCCTTTGCTCTCCCAAGACCTGCTTCCCTTTCCTCGCGGTGCAGTTCGGGATGGCAGGATATTCATTCTTTCGCCAGTACAGGAGCATGGCCAGGTTGCAACTGGTCTGGTCCGGTATGCCAGATTTTTCACTACCTCTTGTGGTGTATCATACCTTACCAGGAGGAACCCACCTCTGGCACTACCTCACTGCATCTCTGTGTTGCCAGAGACACTAATGTCATGCAATGTTTAAAGTTTTCTATCTACTTCTTTGAAAATGTATAAGAAAAAGTTCTGAAGGACAAACTTTGAATCAGGATCAACCAACAAACTGAACAAAAAAAGGATAGGGTTCAAAGAAAAATGTTTAATAAATGTTTAAATAACATGATTTATCCATCAAACATATATTACAATTTCTTAATTTTAGTTTGTTTATACTTGTTTGTAAAGTAACTGCATTTATTAAAAACACAGAAATAACTTTCCTTTTAAGGTGTCTTTGATCTTTCCTTAATAAGATTATTCAGAGTGAGAACTCCTTGATGATGAAATGAGAAGCAATATGAAGTAAAGCAACAACCTAATATACATACTTTTAAAATAAATCTAATATACACACTTTTTAAAATAAATTCTTGAACTGTCATCCTCAAACACTATATTTGCAAAGGATGTTAGTAATATATTGTATTCTTTAAAAACAGAACACTGCATATTCTTGGAGATAATATTAAAATGTTTTCATACAAAGTTGGAAAGTATACAGATACATAAATTAATATAGAAATAAAATAAAAATACTTGTTGAATAAATAATTCAATAATCTTTTGAACTTTATATTGTGTAGTCCATAATCTCTTCCTCTGTATTATCTTAACGGCACTTCTACTGCTTAACTTTTAGGAATATAATAGGATACAATAATAGAATCCTCATCCCACCAGTAATGCTGACCACAGTGCTATAATATCCTGGACAACTATTCTGCCACTCACAAAAAGACTATTAACTACTAAAACTATACAGGATGCAGAATGCCCTATTTTTATAAAAAAGAAACATATTTCCAGCCCTTCACATATCTTAAAGATGCCAAGATTGAGAAACACTAATCTATATTAAATGTTGCTTTCTTATCCGAAAGTCTGCTTTCTTGCTAAAATTCTTTTGTTATAAATTTAACCCTCCTTCTAATAAATATTATTAATCAGAACTGCTAGATTCTTGTTCCTTGAATTAAGTGTTTTGATAATGAATTGTAAAGCAGGAAATCTGACAGTATATTTGAATAGAGTCAACCCAATTGGGATCACTGGAACTTCACAAAATGAAAAAAGCAATTATCTAACCACATACTTAAAGTTCTGTTAACCAAGGTTAACAGACCCTGACATAGAAATGCATTCAGCTTGCAAAAATACAATACATGTTTGTGCAAAAATTTTTGGCATTATTTTTGTGAGCTAATAAATTGTTCACATTCAAGATTGCCCATCATTTCTGGAGACTCAGGAATCCTCTTCCCATTCTTTGGATACACACACCAGCAACTTGCAGGATTTCCATCAAGTGAAGTTTCACACTAAGAGAATTTTAAAAGAATATTAAAATAAGTATTTTTTTCAGTAGCAACTAGTTTAATAATTAATAATTAACATTTAGAGAATAATTTTTATCCAGTTCCTATTCAGGTAAATTTTACTTTTATTTTTTTACATTTTACATATAGTTCAATCTTTTTCATCCCTATTGTACTTAATCCAACCATTCCCAATCTGACATTGAAAGTCAGTTGACTTTGTCTGGTCTCTTGGAGAGATACCTGACTCCATTGCCCGCAACCCGACCGAATCCTTAGTCGCTGCTTGGAATGCTGCGGCGACTGAGGCACTAGATCGGATTGCGCTTTTGAGGCCTCTCCGCGGCAGCGGATCCAGGAGGGCACCTTGGTTCACCGAGGAACTCCAGGAGATGAAGCACCAAAAGAGACGCCTAGAGCGACGTTGGAGGTCTAGTAACTCTGAATCTGATCAAACACTACTAAGAGCCTTTATTAGGACTTATTTAGTGGCGATACGGGCAGCAAAATGCGCTCATTTTTCTGCTCTTATTGCGTCCGCAGAATCTCGCCCAGTCACCCTGTTCAGGACAAAATCACTCAGCTTCGGACAGACCTAGACTCTGCTTGGGCAATACCAGCTGAGGTGCTGAGGGCAAGTCCAAGTCGGTTTTCCTGGGATGAGTTCAATTTTGTCACCCCTGAGGAAGTGGACAAGGCCATGGGAGTGATGAGCGCCTCCACCTGTTTACTGGACCTGTGCCCCTCCTGTCTGGTTTCGACCAGTAGGGAGGTGACACGGGACTGGTTCCAGGTGATCACCAATGCTTCTTTGCAGGAGGGGTCTTTCCCGCAACCATTAAAGGAAGCGGTGGTGAGGCCCCTCCTCAAGAAGCCTTCCTTGGATCCAGCCATCCTGAAAAACAACCGTCTGGTCTCCAACCTCCCTTTTTTGGGGAAGGTTGTTGAGAAGGTGGTGGCGCTTCAGCTCCGACAGACCGTGAATGAAGCAGATTATCTGGATTCCTTTCAGTCTGGTTTCAGGCCTGGGTACAGCACAGAAACCACTTTGGTCGCTCTGACCAATGATCTCTGGCGTGCTAGGGATAGAGGGCATTCCTCTAACCTAGTGCTTCTTGACCTCTCAGGGGCTTTCAATACCATCGACCATGGTATCCTCCTGCGACATCTGGAGGAGGTGGGAGTGAGAGACACCCTTTTATGGTGGTTCTCCTCCTACCTCTCCAGTAGGTCACAGTCAGTGTTGGTCGGGGGACAGAAGTCGACCCCTAGGCCCCTCAATTGTGGGGTGCCACAGGGTTCAGTCCTATTCCCCCTCCTATTTAACATCTACATGAAACCGCTGGGTGAGATCATATGATGGCACGGGATAAAGAACCATCAATACGCAGATGATATGCAACTGTATCTATCTGCCCCGTGCCAGCTCAGTGTAG